TGTCACGTGTCTTATTTCAGCATCCAGGGATGCTGAAATCGAGAAACATAATTTCCATTACTATTATTATTATTATTTTTTTTTTATTTTTTATTTTTTTTGTATTCTACTTGTATTCCTGGTAAGTATATTGTGTGTTGCATTATTCCGTCACACTACTATAGTAAACTAGCAAGAGATAAGAAGGAAAACCAAAGAAAAAAAAAAAATTTAAGTCTGGCAAGAGAAAAAACAAGCTGCTAAAAACATAGCTAAAAAAATAAGATAGATTTATACAGTTAAGCAAATTGTCAAATTAAGATTAAAAATAGAATCAGACTGAAGCAAGAAACTCCAAGAATAAAGAAAAAGTAGACAAAGTTAGTACAATAAAATGGCCTTAAGAAATTTAGTATAACAATTCAAAGAATCTGTTAAAATCACTATAGCAAAACAGCATATAATCTAAATAAAAACCAAAAAAGAAAAAGAAAAGATGCAAGCCTAATAAAAGAAAAAACAAGCTACTAAAATAAAGTCAAAGTTAAATCTAGACTAGAGCAAGAAACTTCAAGAACAAAGAAAAACTCAACAAAGATAGTATAACAAAATAGCATTAAGAACCCTAATAATACAGTTTAAAGTATCTGTCGAATTTATTACAACAAGTTATAAAAGAAAAAAAAGAAAAATTAGAGAAAAAATAAAGCAGCGTTACCCTGAGACTTATGAGGAGACAAGAGACTGGGCCATCAAAATTGAAAAATTTGAAAAGAGCGATGAGTTCGACATAAAGAAGGCCAGTGTGATAGGGGAAGAATCGACGTACCAAACCGATCCCGCTGTTGATGAGCTGGCTGATGCCTTCTCTGACCTCAAGATCTGTCGAGTTAGTCCGGGTGGTCAGGGCGAAAAGAACCCTGAAAGAATTTACAAATTGGAAGCTACTATAAATGAGCTTACAAGGACACTCCTATTAAACAATAATCCTTCACCTTTCGCTTAAGCCGAGGCAGGGACTCACTCTTCATGTGAGATGGCTTCCAAATCTTGTACTTTTGAATTTTCTACTTCCACGTTCATCAACATATGTTCAACATACTGTTTGTCAGTTCGGCTCTTTTGCAAAGGAGGGTTCGGGTATCTTGACATGCCGTCGGCATTCGTGTGCTTCTTTCCAGGTTTATATTTTATTTGAAAGTCGAAACTTTGCAATAAAACAATCCAACGCATCAAGCGACCTTTTAACTGTGCTTTATGGAAAAGCCACTCAAGTGCCTGATGATTGACCCAAACATCGAAAGTCGTTCCACCGACATACCGTTCACATACGTTACATCCATAGACTATACTGAGACACTCCT